TATATATATATATAATTTACACAAGTCTACATTGACAAATCAATTACCGGTCACATCAACAAGGGGTTTGTGTTATGGCAAATAAAGTTTATGAAAATTCACAGTTAATCTGCAAGTATTTTAAAGATGCAGGAATCATATTGCACATAATAAAACAGTGGATGCTGAGGAGCAGATTTACAGTGTTCCAGCTATTCCTTCACAGAATATACATTGGTCGTCGTCATCATCATCATGCAATAACTTCAAATACAGAATGGTATCATGTACCACGGTAAACAGTTACTCACAATGTAAGTTTTAAATAGAGTAGCAAAAAGCTGTTAGGTTTCTCTTTAAACCATATTTAAATTCTTAAAATACAATAAAACACTTTGATAAAATCAAACTGAATTACGGTTGTCACATAATGCTTTTAGTATTCTTCTTTGTCTTTTCCTTTCTTTTCCTTTTCATCCTGTAGTGCAGTACCAAGTTTCTTTATAAGGACCGACAAAACTTTGTCCAAAGGATCCATGACGCCGCGCTGCAGCCACTTTGGAATAGTAGTCCTCGCGTGGTGAAAGCCCAGCTTTTGGAGGATGTAGTCAACGCCAACAGGATCAATTTTTCTCCCAGTCCAGGATATTAGTCTAAAAAAAACAGTAAGCAGGGGACTTAATCTCAAACATATAAATACAGCAACTGGCATTTGTATAAACAAACATCCATTTTTACCATGGTTACTTCTGACCAACTGAAGTCCAACAGGCATTTTTTCAAACTTAATTTACACAGATGAGCTGAAGATGACCAATGGAACATCCTCTCAAAGGAAGAGGATGCTCAAGGAGGCAAAAAAACAGACTGGGCTGCCTCCAGATCATGTTTAAATTGATCTATTATTACTGCTAACACGAAATGCCAACTGTCAAGATTTGTTTCGCCTGGGTTGATATGTTGTTTGACATGTGAATGGACACTTAGGTGCTCCAGCAGTGTCAGCAGAGGTTAAAAAACAAACCAACCTTGACAAAGAGAAAAGTAATTTTCAGTGATCAAAAGTGTATCTTAAGAGCAGTGAGTTGCTGCTATACACACTATTCTTTTGTACTAAGTTTAAACTGCCATATAGCAACTGCTATACAGGGCTTTTTATTTTAAGGTGACTGCTTAAAGAAGCACTAAAACTGGAATGCTAAAAATGGAAAAGTACAAGATGAAAAACTGTGGCAGAAAGTGAATGGGCTATTGTGGGACGGAGTGAAACACAATAATCTGTGGTCCTTAATGAGTTTAATTTTACTGCATCCTAATTTTGAAGAGCCTCCAACATCTTTCATCTCATAAATTCTAATCTAGAAGTTAACTGGTGTAACAGACAATTGTGTTATCCAGCTTTTGTCATGTCCTGGAGCAGGAATCTTTCATAGCAGCCAAAGATGAATCTCTAACAGCATCCACATGACTGATCCTCTTCAGAGCTGAACAGCATCAACTTGGAAACACTTGTTTACAGGACAGTACCGACAGATCAAAAGCAAAGACAATGAGATAGCAGATAAACCTGCTTGTTACCTGAGCGTGGGTTCCAAATGCCAAGTATTGCACATAAATTCCCTCCAGTCGACTGTAGTGTAAGTAATGCTTTCCTCGGCCTCTTTGTCAGTGGAGTTGTCCTCAAGAACACCAACGGAGTTTTTCTGCCCTGGACGAGCAGCCAAAATGCGAGGAGGAAAAATTGCTGCAAAATGGAGAAAGGAAAAAAACCCACACCAGTCAGTCATGAGCATCTCACTTGAATTCTCCTTGCGCATTGTTTGAAGAAACACAGGCACAAATCGCAAAAAAAGAGGGAGCCACCTTGTGTTTCAGTTTTACAGAATTTCTGGCAAACAGTTTTGGTTTGAACAAAGTGTTATTAAAAAATATCCTATGAAAACTATAATAGACACTGGATAACACTGGAATGTCAGATTCTTCCTTCTCTCTGCCAGCCCAAAGCATCCACATACAGGGGCTTGCTTTCAAATTCATCATGGCATTCAACAAAGCATATCAAGATTCTAGTTTTGAATTTTTTTTTAGATTGACAGAATAGTCTCTGAGGAGGTGGGTGGTGGAGGAATAGTTAAGTTCAATCTTTGTTTAAAGGCATCAAGGCGACCTGAACCCAGCTCTTACTGGAGTTTAAGTCCTGGGATACCAAAAAGGAACAGCAGCTCTTCCTTCAAACAACATATTTTATAAAATAAAATCAAATCTGTGAATTTGGATTGAATTTTGATTTCAGATAGTCTGAAAACAATTTTTTGTACAAAGTTCCACCAAAAATAGTTATCTGCACCTGTTGGGACATTTTACTATAAAGTGCTTTTAGGAAAATGAGCCCTCCTAGCTCTGTTGTACACAATTACATGTAAACAGATTTTGATATGGTTAGTTATAAAATAAACTTTCAAAATACTGAATTTAATGTGTTTTACATCAGGCAAGTGTTACATTTATGCATCACATCATGTTACACCAGATGAATAAATGTTACATTTTCTGTACAGTTCAGTAATAAATGCAAACTACTACGCACAACACTGAATTTCACACACACCAGAAAAACAAAATATGTCACTTTCACTGAGGTGGTAACTCATTGTTTATAAGTACATTTCCATGTTACCTTACTCTTGTGGCAGTCTCTAAAGAAAAAAGTACAAAAATGAGAGTCTAGAGCAGGACTGCTCTGGCAAAATCTAGAAAAATCATAATTTAAGATCAGAAGTTGTAAAACTTCAAATAATCAGCTTTTAATTTCAGTCATGACATGTCACCTGATATAATATAGAATTATATAATAGTTACAGTAAATTTAACATCTGAAATAATTTTAACTATGATCAACACCTACAGTGCCATTATGATCTTTTCCAAGTCTGAAGTAATTTAGTAGGTTTTAGATACTCTTGGCAACAATTACTTTTAAAGCATTAAAGCCACTAGATGATGCCCTTCCCTTCAACATGTAGGCAATCATCGAGCACGCTCAGTCATTCAGTACTGCACTGAATTTATTCACCTTCAATCTGCAAAACCGAAAATCACTCTGTGTTTGGCACACTTCACAGATAGATATCTATCTATCTATATCTATCTCAAACTCACTTCAATTTCTTAACAAAGACCACATATTGCTTAAGAATGCACATGCCAAATTCAAATGCTGCAACTGAACATATTCACATGGAAAAGTAAAGCATTCTCAAGTCAGAAAAATGCGTCTTGAAAGAAACTCTATTGATGAAAGGACTGCAATAAAAGTAACGTAGCTTCCTAAAACAGTTTTCATCGGCATACACCATCTTAGAAAAAGAAAGTTAAACTAAGCACCGGGTGTCAAAATAGGAGCAAGACTATGCCTTAGAGTAACTAGCGCAAGCTCATCAGTAGTGGGTAAGGAAGAGACATTCAGGAGTATGTCTGTTCTCTGCAGCACTGGAGGTGACCAAATTGTTTTGGAACAACCTGCTGTACCCACACGGTGTAGCAAAGTGCCACGCAGAGATACCTGTACAGCTCCCTGCACAGCAGGGGCATGTCAGCGGACTGACGCTACGAGGTTTGTCAGCCTGTGTGCAACTACTCTGCTTCTAGTCCTACAGGAGCTGACTTAAAATCAGATCAAGTATTTCCTGAACAATGTTGCGCTTTTTGAGAAGTGCTAAAATACCTCTTGGCTTTCAGTCTAAAATAACCTGGAAAAACTTTATGTTATTGCATAGTTAATATTTCACTTACCAGCAACTGAAAGAGATAACTATAATTTCCTAGCATTAAGTCTACATTTCAAGAACATTTAGTACTACTACTGTTGATTTCAATGGAAGCAACGTCAGGCTTAACTTTTTTAAAACTAAATCAATTTTTAACAGGTCAACTCTATTAAAAAGTATGGAAGTATTTATAATCAAATAGTCTGACAACTGCAGATTGTCACATGAGCATTACCTCATAAGTAACCACTTACCCAACTTACCTTTTTCTTTTTCTTTTAGATAAGCAGATACCAAGTCATGCAGAAACATAATCAATTCAGCATCCATAGTTACACATATGTGGTCTGTAAATTCAGTTACTACACTGCATTCCACCTTTGGTTTAACACTTGTGTCTAAAAGATAAGA